AATACCTCATTTGCTCGGAGACGTTCCCGCCAAGCGAGTCGGGGCGCTATAAACCCTTTCCTTGGGTATATGAAACCCGTTAGCTTTGAATAACAGTCCATCTAGGAGAAGGCAAACTTCCATCTGGAAGACCACAAACTCAAAATGCAAACCCCTAGTTTCAAGGTGGGTCAATCTGCTAAGGAACTGGATGGCCACGGGTGAGCAAATGTTGGACATCTGGCGGTCGTGCGGGGTGGCACCAGAGGTATGGACTCCTACAGAATATCCACTGCCTCTTCCCTAGCAAGCAGGCTATACTAATGGATTTTTAAATACATAGGAATCGTCACCGGAGCTACGGTGCACGTGCTCTGCGCTTGACACCTTTTTCAGCAGTTAGTGAAAAGAGAGCCTGTTGACTAGAAGCGTACTGCTCCTTCATGACAATGGCAGACCACATACGGCTCAGTTAACTCAGGAGAAAATTAACCATTTAGGGTGGGAGCTTCTGGAATATCAACACAACAACCCCGACTTAGAACAAAGCGATCTCCGCCTTTTTTTTGGTCCACATAAATCCACCTTTGCAGGAGACATTTAGCGAAGGAGGCAGAAGTTGAATGTGAAGTGAAAATGTGGTTAAGAACACAGAGCACGCAGTTCTATGCAGCGGATTTGGGAGGATGGGACAAGTACATCAATGTTGGTAGAAATTTTGTAAAATAATAAAAAAAAAAGAGGACAGTGTGTGTGTTGAAAATTCAAGTTGTTATCGTGTTTAACAGCCGTTTGTGACTTACTTATTGACTTTCCTTCATTTACGAAGATGAAGCTAATGCTCATGATGATGATTACAAACTAGCAGAAAAATAATTTTTTTTTAGAGACTGTTGGAATAATATTGTTTAGATAAATATTTTATTTGTACACATCAGAAGATTTTGTTTTTTACACCAGCGTCAGTGAAACAAAGACGTAACGACATTATACACAAAGATAAACCCACATATACGCTCGCAGAAATGAAGAAACAGTCTTGGCAAGTCTATAACCAAAGCGAGAGATAGAGATTTTTGGAGATCCTTTGCTGTCAACTGTCACTCTTGATGCGGCACCCGATTGATTAATCGAAAAGCGTAGTCAATAGAAATAATTTTGTTTAGGTATTTGGTGGGTTGTGATCTTAACGATGTATATTGGGACCTCTCCATATTTCAGGACGATAGTATTACTCTGTACTATAAACAGGTAAAGAAAGTAGTAGTAGAGTAAATTTTTACCCCAACAGGACATCACACAAGCGATCAACACCCGATGACACCACAGAGTGCCACCATGTGGATGAGGGTCACCGTAGATAGGTCCCAGAAACCGCGTTAAGCCATTAGACCGTGGGCTATATTGCGGCCCCTGGAAAGAGCCTGGGTGGGGATTCAAAATACAGAAAAAGTGCATCTCACAATGAGATAACGGGATTGCGGGTAAAGAAACTACATCTGTGACGATAATGGATATGACTAATAAGACCAGCTCGAGTTAAGAAAAGGATTTCTCTATGAGAATTTCGATTTAAGGCCTATTTTAGCCAGACTGCCCTGCACTAGCCAGGCGGCCCTAAATCATCAGGCTCAAGGGTCCCCTGCCCACACAGCCCTAAAAGGTGGTAAAACAGACAGTAGTGACCGTTTTTTAAACAACCCCTTCACATGTGTGTTTTCCCTTTCATTGCAGAGCTTCTGTACTATAGCAGTGACTTTTCTTCTTTGTCTTTAGTTTGTTCCTTATCTTTCCATTCGTGTAGTGCAATCAAGAGAGACGACTGAATTAGTCAGGCAATGCAACGGACACCAAAGTACAGCGAGGAAGAGGCAGGTCCAGAGGCATGTGGATGTGAACCTTTGAGGCCGAACTCAAAGCTCCGCGAACTACAAAACTGGAGATACAGAGGAATGCTCAGGATCGAAATGAGTGGTGACATTTTGTCTATGCCTTGTGTGCCTCTGGGCGCGATGAGAGTTGAGGAGTGAATGCCATCAATTTCATCTCAATATCTGAATTATTCATAACCTGCTTACATACATCTTTATATCACAGTAGAGTCTGGTCCGAAATCTGCGATCTATATATTTGTTGTTTAACCGCATTAAATGCCCTTGTGGATTTTGTATCCTCTATTCTCCAAGTGTGTCCCAGCAGTCTGATTCTTCGGAAAAAAGCACTGAGAAACCCGTAATGATGTATGTAATCTGCAAGAGAGAGTTATAACATAAATGTATCATAATTAGATGGTATCTTAACTTTTAAAAACGACTTTCATGTTAACTGCGAATGACCACTCTCCTGTTTTTTAACAGGGCTCTTTGGTCTGATTGGAGTCTGCATGTATGGCACGTCAATTATCGAAGCTGCCAGAAAGGACGAGGGAGCAGTGCACTGGGCATTCCCCGTGACTGCGGCTTCTGTAACAGGTGTGATCGTCTGTGGGATTCTCATGGCCATCGCCAACCCCATTCACACGGTATGTTCCACAGCAGCACGCTACACACGGTATGTTCCACAGCAGCACGCTACACACGGTATGTTCTCCAGCAGCACGCTACACACGGTATGTTCCACAGCAGCACGCTACACACGGTATGTTGGCCAACAGTACATGCACATCATATGTTCTTGGGGAACACAGTGCAGACTGTATGTTCCCCAACAGCACGCTACACACGGTATGTTCCACAGCAGCACGCTACACACGGTATGTTCCACAGCAGCACGCTACACACGGTATGTTGGCCAACAGTACATGCACATCATATGTTCTTGGGGAACACAGTGCAGACTGTATGTTCCCCAACAGCACGCTACACACGGTATGTTCCACAGCAGCACGCTACACACGGTATGTTCCACAGCAGCACGCTACACACGGTATGTTCGCCAGCAGCACGCTACACACGGTATGTTGGCACATCATATGTTCTTGGGGAACACAGTGCAGACTGTATGTTCCCCAACAGCACAGTACATTTTGTATATTCTTGCGAAAACTGTTGCCCGTGTTAATCAGCAGTTGAGAAGACTTGGTATAGTAGAGCAGTACAGTACACCATTCACACACAATTTAATATTTTGCCTAGCAATAAATGTATGTCTTTAGAAACACAATACACAAGATGCAGGGGTGTAGAAAGCCTGTGACTTAGGCATTTGAGCACCTAAAGACTTAACAAAGTAGTCTTTTCTGTGATGTGTACTATACAAGAATAACTCACGTGAGTCAACACTGCATGTCTACTTTATGCTTCTATAGTGCGTTTCAGGAATCGTGCCCTCACACTTCAACAAATATCTCGAAAGCTCCTTTAATGATCAACACGAATGTCTGTGGCCTTTGATTTTCCGTGTTCTTATGAAATGTATTAACTTACATTTCCACAGGTGCTGCTGTTTTCTTAAGGCAGCGATTTTTAAAAAAATATTTAATCTTTGCTTGACAGATAATTTGTGTACCCCTAAAACATAGAATATGCAGTAACTGACACATGCATGGAGATTGTTTACAAATCACTTCATAGCAGCAGCAGTGAGTAGTGATTGTTGTGATAGCCTATTCTACATACAATAAAAATCCACAACTCACATGAGGCTTATTCCCAGATGACCACCTGAGAGTAAAACGCTTACGACCAGCGTGAAATATGTTGTTTTTGAAAGTTCCCGTCACTCAGTTAACTGTAGGCAAGCTGACTTTTTGCTTCGAATTCGATTGTGTCTGTGTGTGTGTGTGTTTTAACCGCAAAAAAAAGGCACAATAAAAACTAGATCGTTTTGTCCCCCCCCCCCCCTTCCCCCCCTCCCCCCCCCCAAAAAAAAAAAACTTGTTGCAAGGACATCATTGTTTAACAGGTGGCATGCCAGATTTGAATAACTTACATTGAACAGTTAGAGCGTTACAAGTTTATAAAGTTGGGCAACAGACTATATATAGCACACACGGATCAGAGCGCCCTGTCCACATGAGACAGACAATACGCTGTTGATAGATAACAGACTGTAGACAAGTTATGGACTATTGGCAGATAGTAGATAGTAAATATATGATTAAGTTTCCTCTACTACCTCTGCTTTGTAAATGAACAATTACATTACACAATATTTCCAAAAGTCAACTTTTTTCGTCCCATAAATTATTTTGATCACAATGCGCGAGCTCCGTAGCACCAACGACAATCCTAATATGCGTGTAAAATTACACATGTTTTGAACAGTCTTCATTGCCATCATTTTTGGGGTAGATTTTTTCGTTTGGATGTTCAGTTGAGTTCAGGTAAGAACCGATACACAGAACTCTGGACATTAACATAAATGCTCCATTCTCACCCTCAGCTGCCGACCCGAGGGTACTGGATTCACATCCTCATCCGAAGCGATTTTTCGAATTGATCCAAGGCTCTGGTAACTGGTAACTGGTGTTGGTAAAAAAAAACAAAAAACTTCTTGCTTCTTTCAACCGGCTTCATGAGCGTTGGTTATATCGAAGCGGTGTTTTGTTGTCTGGAGTTTTGTTCTCCAGTTATTGTCGTTTCTGTTGTGGCGATTTACATTTCTGCCTGGGGTTAGTTGCTTCTGTCAGAGTGAGGTAGGTGGGCGTGGCTTGGGCGGCGGACATGTGTCATCTGGTTGTGGGCTGTGAGGTTTCTCCGGGCTGGTGGGCGTTGTCGCGAGACGCCGCTTCAAGTAGACAAGATACTTTGGCTGACGTACCACCCCTTTGTGACCCTTCTATTTTTCTCTCTTACATGCGCCCAGTGACTTCATTTTCGTCATAAGACGCATTGAGAGATTTCCCGGTTATAGCCTACGGTTGCTGTTTGGGGATTTTCCATTGTCCTACTTGTAATTCCCCTGAGCTTTCACGTATAAAAATATACGGCTAGTAACTCGGCAACGTAGCGGGGAAAACCCTGGCCAACACCGGAAATCCCGCAGTGAGACAAGATTGCCAGCCATTTTACTTCAGGTCAGCAAGCAGGTGTTAGAGCGGGCCGTTTTGGCAGAACTTTGTCTTTCTCGCCGCCTAAAAAACCCTAGCAACATGACCATATAGTTACATCTAAATCCAGCTGCTGAAAAGCCGAGGACAGATTCCTTGTGGCAGGACGAGCTTCCAAACCACTGCCAGGCTGGTTGTAGCTAATGATTGGAGTGCCCTAAGGAAGATCTTGGTGCTTGGGACAGATCCGACATTCCACCTCAGTCTTTGAAATGGATGATCCTCTGGGAAACTCCAGGTGGTAATTGTTGTATGTTATTTCCCACTGATCCTCTCACGACGACAGTTTCATGTTACTATCATTTTTATCTTTCATCCTACTTAGTTTGAATAATGTATTTTCAAAAGTAAATAGATGATTGAATTTTTACTTTAATTGTAATAAACATTCCTATGATTGATTTAAACTCATAGTTAAAGTTTATTTCTATTTCTAGATGTATGTATGGTGTCAGTGCTGTCTACCAATATACATAGTCTAGATGGGGGCTTAATTTTATTACCAGAAAGGGAAATTGTCGGGAGGGGTAATCTGCTCTGTCTAAATGTTTAGGCATCTAAATTCCCTTATCCCTTTTCTGGGGATATTCAGGCAGCTCACCTTCTTTCGCGAGCCAATTCGAGTCTGTATCTGAGTATCCAGGGACACTGTCTGCTCTTTGCACCAAAAGACAGTTGTCTCGGTTTCTAACAAGATAACACCACTTTATTGAGTGTATAAGGAACCTGTTCCACGACAAGTGAGGCGCTCTCCGGAATAATAATCTGAGGCCACACAAGTGTGTCGGCGCCTGTTATTTAAAACCCGGAAACCCTAGACAATTGAAATTTTATTTCATAAATTTTTTTAAATACTTAAAAAACTTTTACATTCCCTAGATTACAGGCACCATTTTTTTATAATAGTGACTTACATAATTAGGGTTTGAAGAGTGGCAGTATTAACTGTTAAGTAAATGATAGTAAAAAATATGAACTGTTTATACTTACCTTAATTAGTGTAATATCACAATTAGGAAGTAGTCTGAGAATTTTTTTTCCCAATCTTGACTGCTTTAGCATTTGAGGAAAAAAAAAAAATACTAAATATTGATTGTAAATCATTTTTATGTTGACATTCTATCATTTGACATTACTGTTAAGTTTATTTAATGTGTCATTGATTGCTGTGCAGTAATGTTTGATTACTTGCATTATTTTCAGTAACGTTCTCCTTACTGCTGTGGTCAGTTTTCCTTTTTTTCTATTCTATCACCCAACCCTTCAACTATAAATACTCTTCTGGTTAGTCCTGCATGTGATCAGTTTCTCTTGCTTTGTAAATGAACAATCTAGACATTATGGACCGCCGGTCCAGGTTCTTAGAAAATGCAAGGATTTTTGGTGCACAAAGGGGCTATAGAGGACAAGAGTTAACAACGTTCATACAACGCGAACAGGAAGAATGGGACTCAATGCTTGCTCGTCATGCAGCGGAGAGGGAAGAAGAAAAGAGAATACGGCAACTTGAAGAAGAAGAAGATGCTAGACAACTCCAAAAGGATGCAGCTGTCAAAAGAATGAAGCTTCTTCAAGAAAAGCTGCATAAACTATCGACTACTTAGGCAGACAAAGAAGAGAGAACTGCAGTTAGACACAGGGAACGGTGAGAACAACATCCAGGTAGTTGAGGGAACTGACAACTCCCATACTGACACTCTGGTAGAAAGGTCAGGGACTCACTCTCTCAATGGAGAGGTGTGTACTATTGCGCCAAATGGTACCTCATCAAATGATGAAGTAATAGACCACCCAAGACCTTGCCTCACCTCTCTTATTCCTTATAGGAAAAGAGTGCACATCAAGAATTCTTTGACAGGAATCAGATCTACATTGCTGAACCCCTGTATTCTCCATTGCCCTGATAAGCAAAATGAGAAGCCTCCTGTCCCCACAAGGAAGCGAGGACAGAAAACAAAGAAATCTTCAAAAGGGAGCAGATCCACATTGCTGAACCCCTTTACTCCCCTTAACTCAGATGAGCAAAGTGAGGAGACTCCTCCTGAGCCTAAATGGAATCATGGAAGGAGAAATTGTACCGTGGGCACCCGTAATCGTCATACCAGTGACAGACGAACCTCAAACACCACATCCGATTCATTTAACTTCTTATGTTCCTTAGTGAAAGAAGGGAATCGGCATGTTCCGAAAGGGGAACTTCAGATGAAGGACATTGTGGCTGAACAAGCCAAGAGTAAAAGGGAAACCAAACACTCTGGTCTTAGAGTACTCTTCACTTCGAAAGATGCGACAGGAGTAACTCAGCTGCCGGTAGAAGCTTCGGTCCGAAGCAATACCACCTTAGCATCTTCAGAAAACGAACCACTTCTGACTGATGTGACTGTATTTACTGAACTACTTTTGTGCTCTGATTCCGAAAGGAGCTCTATTCATGAGAAACTCACCCCGATAAATTATGAAGGGGAGGACAG